TTAATGAGCAGCAAGAGTTCATATAATAATAATATTAATAATTGTCTGAATCCTGCAGCAGGAGGGGGGGTGGGGGGGTGACATGTAGCAAAATAAATGTGGGGGTAGAGAGACAGAGAGAGAAATGCTCAGTGCATGATGGGAGTTCTCCCAGCAGTCTAGACCTAGCAGCATAACTAAGGGATGGTTCGGGACCTGATCCAGAACTATAGACTTCATCAAATTGATGGTTAAGGCCTTAAATCAATCACATTTTATTTGTATTGTCTCATATTCACAAATCACAGTTTGTCTTATAGATGTTAACAAGGAGCAACAACCTCTGTTCTTAACTCGACAAGAGTAAAACTACTACAGAAACTTTGAGGAGGGTTCGGAGTCATTGTTACCATGAACAAATTGAAATCTATCCGATAAATATGATTTAAACCAGCCTAGTGCCAGTATGTAAGATGATTCCAAGCATAGTAAAGTTTATTAAGGTGTTAAATAGTTTAATTCCATGATTCAAGGGTTTAATCCTCCAGAACTCCTTAAACTCAGTTTGATTAAACATTTGTCTCAATTGAAATCTTTTTAATCTTAAAATCTGTTGATAATTTGATCAAATAAAGCATATTTATATTTTATTAGACACCGGTTTGATTAAAGATCTACTTATATTCTTTCAGGAAATGATGCCATGAATAATTATTCTTACTTCAAACTTTAACTATTATTCCTGACTGAGAAACAACTGGTTTGTTTGTTTCCTTGTGGTCTCTAGTTATTATTTAGTTCTGGTTCAAATAGATTTGATTCTTGTTGTAAATTTCAATGAGGTTTAATCATAAACATGTGATTTAATAACTAACAGTCACTGACTGAAGCTGAACTGAAGCTGAACTCGAACCTTAACTTTTCATTCAAGGGACAAATTAAGAAAAGTTGAAATGTTATTGGTTATGATATTTTTGTCAAACCATTAATCCATTAAAAATAAAATGATTCCAGTAATTCTTAATACATTCTGACCCTGAAAACTGACGGTGCTTCAAATGAAAATATTTAAATATTTCTGGTTGTTTTAAAAGTCATTAAACAAAATGAAATGTGTTGAAACACGTGTTTCACCTTGAAAGTGACGTGGACCCAGGTCTGTCTGTTCATTGATTGATCCTCAGTGTGATGGAGGGATGACAGGAGTGAGGGATCGAGGAGGAGGTGGATCCAGAGGGCTGGACCTGCTGGAGGAGGAGGAGAAACAGGTCACCATCACCTCCTCCTCCTCATCATCATCATCATCATCATCATCAACACTACCTCTCTCTGCTCTTCCTGGCCCGGATAAGCACGGAACTGTTTCACCTGGACCAAGATTCACACCCAGGACCGGGACCGGGACCTGCAGGATCCGTGTTTGGGCTGCGGGCTCCCGTCATGCTGGGCGCGGTGAAGATGGAAGGACACGAGGCTCCGGACTGGAGCGGATTCTACAGCGAGGAGGTCGGTGACTGTTCGCGCACGACACCGTCACTGGAGCGGCCGTGAGTCCCGGGTCACACCGCTCCGGGTGCGGGACTAAACACGAAGAGGAAAAGAACTAAAAAGAAACGAGTATTTTCTTTGACTAAAAATTAGTTTTCTATTGGATTTTATAAAAACAATTTGTGGAAATAAA